CCTCAAAGACTAGCCCATCTGCTCTCCAAACCTGAGCTTGGTGACACTCTCATTATCTATCTGTCAACATCGGCTTCAGCAGTAAGTTCCGTTCTCATTCGAAATGATGGTAATGTCGAACGGCTTGTCTACTACGCTAGCAAGGCCTTGCAAGATGCGGAGACATGATACTCCAACATTGAGAAATTGGCTCTAGCATTGGTCATGTTTGCTCGAAAACTTTACCCTTACTTCTAAGCACACTCCATCATCGTGCTTACCAATCATCATTTTCGACAGATACTCCAAAGTCCTGACACTTCTAGGCGAATGATCAAATGGGCGATAGCATTGGGTGAGTTTAACATCTCTTACCAACCAAAGCCAGCTGAGAAGGGCCAAGCAGTGGTAGACTTCATCGTCGACTTCACATATCATGTTAACATTGTTTCTACTCCTAAATAAGTGGTTTCATTACCCTCGGAAGCTCAGAAAATAGAACCAACAGCCCCATCATGGAGTCTATATGTTGATGGCGCGTCCAACTAACAGGGTTGTGGAGCAGGACTAGTCTTTATGACCCTTGAAAAAGTGGCGATGAAGTATGCTATTCATTTCAAATTCAAGGCATCAAACAATGAGGCCGAATATGAAGCCCTCCTAGCAAGCTTACGTTTGGCTAAACACCTTGGGGTTAAACGAATTGATATCTTCAGTGACTCTTAATTGGTGGTTAACTAGGTCACCAACAACTTTGACGCTAAGGATAGCTCTATGGCAGCATATCTGGCACAAACACAATTGTTGCTCAAGCACTTCCACTACCAGATCACCCAAATTCCCCGAGCGAAAAACAATCATGCAGATGCTTTGGCTCGCCTCGCCTCAGCGGTGGAAGACAAGATTGGGAGAAAAATTCAGGTTGAATTGTTGGCAGCATCAAGCATCATGGCTGCGGAAGTGTGCAACTTACAATAGGGGGATAGTTGGATTACCCTAATTTATAGATTCTTTGCTCATGGCACCCTTCCAAATGACAAAGTCCAAGCTAAGCAGATTCGATACAAGGCTACCCGTTACTTGATCATTAATGACTAACTCTACAAGCGTGTTTTAACCTACCATATCTAAGATGCCTTACTCTCGCAGAGGCCGAAATTGTCCTTCGGGAAATACATGAAGGAGTCTGCGGAGATTATGCTAGATCTCGATCCCTAGCACACAAGGCTTTTCACCAAGGATATTACTGGCCAACACTCCACCACGATGCCATTAGAATATCCCGCTCATGTGATAAGTGTCAACACTACACAACTATTCCTCATTCCCCTCCTGAGACGCTCACTCCTATGATCAGCCCTTAGCCCTTCGCCCAATGGGAAATTGATTTGATCGGCCTAATGCCTGTAGGGAAGGGCAAGGTTTGTTATGCAATTGTTGCAGTTGACTACTTCACAAAGTGGGCCGAAGTAAAACCCTTGGCAACCATTACTGAGGCAAAAATAGAAGACTTCGTATGGAAGAACATCCTTTGTAGATTCAGCATTCCCAATGCGATAATCACTGACAACGGGCAACAGTTCGACAACAATAAGTTCAGGATGTTCTACTCTAAGTTCAACATCAATTTATGTTTTGCCTCTCCAGCTCATCCCCAGTCCAATGGACAAGTCGAAGCCATCAACAAAAAAATCAAGCAAACTTTGAAAACTAGCTTGGACAAGGTTAAAGGTTGTTGGCCAGAATTTGTACCCCAAGTTCTTTGGTTATACCGCACTTCGTATTGGACATCAACATGAGAAACCCCATTCTCACTTGCCTTTGGTACAGAGGCAGTTATCCCAGTTGAGCTTGAGCAAGCAACGTTCCGAGTCCAGAACTACGTGCAAAGCGAAAATGACAAACAACTTACCCTCAACTTAGATCTAGTTGAGGAACACAGAAACCAGACTCACTTGAGCAATGTCACCTACAAGTAACACATCTCCAACTACTATGACTCAAGGGTCAAACCTCGTTCTTTCAAAGTGGGGGACTAGGTATTGAAGAAAAGATTACTCTACGACAGAGTCTCAAGTGAAGGAACACTTAGTCCAAACTGGGATGGACCGTTTGAAGTTGTTGGCATCAGTCGTCCCAACTCCTACAAGCTTAGAAGCTCTGATGGTAAGACCCTTGGCCATTCATGAAACGCTGATCGCTTGAAGTACTTTTACAAGTAAACTCATATTGTACAAGTGTTAAGCTTCAGCCGTTCGACATCTTATGTAACGAAGACTATTTGGCATGAATTCAATAAAGAGGTGATTTAGACAACTCAGTCCTAATCCTTTTACATTCCTAGCAATGAAACACTCGGGTTCAAAGCTTCAACATGAATGTTTCCAACATGAAACACAGTGTAAGTATATGTCAACAAGACTATACAAATAAACGAATAGTTTCACAGTATATTCGGTCAATCATACATTCCAACACATTCATACATAAGCCAATTGTGCTTTGAAAGGGTTGAACATACTTTGTGTCATTCGACACTTGCTACAATGTGCCTAGATACCTTGGCATTATTCTCACCAACCAGGTGATGAAATGTGAAGAAGGAACTTGTTGATGCACAAAACCAGAGGTCTTGGAACAATGTAAATCCGACTGTGAATCTGTAAGAAATGTAAATAACACAAAATGTATCGTGGTTTACCCCAAGGTTTGGTCTACGTCCACACTGATTATGTATTTATCTGAGGGGGAAGAGAGCTCTGAGAGTGAGAGATTTGAGAGGGGTGAGAAGGCCTAGGACTTGGTCTCCCTTAATTGTGAGGGTGAAAGGTCATTTTATAGAATAAGGACTCCTCATTTATTACAAATTTGCTCATTCCTTTATCACATAATTACATTTAAGTCCCCCGAGTATTTGTACGAGATCTAAATACGGAGGCCCTAAATATGGTATAAACAGTAGTCCTCTAAGTCTTCAGTCAAGAGAGTCTTTTGGCTGGAGACTTGAAATTCAGTCTATGTGTGGGCAAAAGTAACTAGATGTTGTCTTAAACTGATGTTCGATATGAGGCGGTGCTCAATCCGAAATGATGCTCAACTATCACATGTTGCGAGGCTGCGAGGCTTGTGGCTTATGTGGCCTTGGTTGGCTCGGCTTGTGGCGTTGAAGGTGAGGGAGTCCCTTTTATAGAATAAAGGCTCGCTCCTCAATACATAAATGATGGGCTAGAGTTGAAGCTCGCAGCGAGGCAGTTGCTCAGTAGGCGGCGATGCTCTCTAATGGTGGTAAGGGAGTCCCTTTTATAGGATAATGACTCGCTCCTCAATACATAAATGATGGATTAGGAGTGATGCTCGCGGCGAGGCGGTTGCTCAGTTAGCGGCGTTGTTATCTAATAAAGGTGAGGGAGTCCCTTTTATAAAATAAGGGCTCGCTCCTCAGTACATGAATAATAGGTGCTTTAATGAAAGTGAAGGAGTCCATTTTATAGAATAAGGGCTCGCTCCTTAATAAATAATGGGCTAAGTCCCCCAAGTATTTTTTATGAAGCCTAGTTAAGGCCCAATATATGGTACGTAATGTAGTCCCCCAAGTCTTTGGTTTATAGAGTCTGTTGGCTGGAGACTTCAAATTGAATCTATGTATGGGCCGAAGTGGCGGTTGTTCAGATGCGGTATTTGTATACCCTGCACTGAAGCTTTGTAGGTGAAGCTTTGCAAGTGAAGCTTTGAAGCTAGAGCTCTGTAAATGAAGCTTTTGAAGCTGGAGCTTTTGTAAATGAAGCTTTTGAAGTTAGAGCTCTGTAAATGAAGCTTTTGAAGCTAGAGCTCTGTAAATGAAGCTTTTGAAGCTGATTGACATGAGTGATGCTCATGAATGTTTCTGTTGATTGACATAAGTGATGCTCATGGATGTTGTCATGAGTGATGCTTATGAATGTTAACATGAGTGATGCTTGTGAATGTTGACATGAACGATGGTCATGAATGTTTATGTATGATTGTCATGAGCGATGCTCATGAATGTGTATGTATGAATGACATGAGTAATGCTCATGTATAATTTGGAATACTGGGCGTACTTTTGATCACCTGGTTGGTGGCATGAAGGGGAGTACGGGTTGTACATTTCATCACCTGGTTGGTGGCATGAATGGCTAGTTGCCAAATGATATTAGAGTACGGGTTGTACATTTTATCACCTGGTTGGTGGCATGAATGGCTAGTTGCCAAATGATATTAGAATACGGGCTGTACATTTCATCACCTGGTTGGTGGCATGTAGGAGAGTATGGGTTGTACATTTCATCACCTGGTTGGTGGTAATAGCGGCAGGTTGCCGAATAATTTTGGAGTACTGGGCGTACTTTTGATCACTTGGTTGGTGGTAATAGCAGCAGGTTGCCGAATAATTGTGGAGTACTGGGCGTACTTTTGATCACCTGGTTGGTGGCATGAAGGAGAGTACGGGTTGTACATTTCATCACCTGGTTGGTGGTAATAGCGGCAGGTTGCCGAATAATTTTTAGAGTACTGGACGTACTTTTGATCACGTGGTTGGTACTATTTTGGGCCTATGGGCCTTCGTCCTCCACACAACATTCCAGCCCATTTATTTTGGGCTTTGTCATTTTTTATTTTTTATTTTTTTTTTATTTTTTATTTTTACCCTCTGATGGGGTTTATACAGATATCTCCGAAGATAAGAAAAATAAATTACATGTTTTCAGCATGTTGATGGGCATCTTCTGGTCCAACTGAAAGTGGAGATTTGAAACCTTGGTGGGCATCTTCTTATCTTTAATCATGTTATCCCGTGGGAAAGTGGAGTAGTGGAATAGTGGCTTCTTTTCGGCTTTTCCTTTTCTGCTTTCTGCTTTTCTTTCTGATTTTCTTTCTATTTCTTGACCCTGATGAATATGGCAGACAAGAAATGATAATAGATTTAATAATAAGAAAATAATCTTATCTCCACTTTTGCTTTCTTCTTTTCACTTTCCTCACTTTCTGTCTCTGAGTTGTCATGCATGTGCACCCTTGAATCTGCAGGTTGGCCACGATGGTGATGCTTTATATTTCAGGGACAAATATGCAGACTTCTCACTGGATTTTCTGATGAGTTCGTTCCTTTTCTCAGAAGTTGATGCTGGCAGATTAATCAGTTTTTCCATGCTCTTTTCCATATCATATCCGCAACCATCAAGAACTTGCCGAATTTGATCCCTCTCTAGCTTGAACCCAACTCCAAGCATACTGAACAGAAAATCCTCCATGCCCTGGTGGAGCTGTTCATCCCTTGAGGAACAAGACTCATCGTTTTCGACCCAATTTTCTGACATTGGCAACACACTGGAGTCCAGCTTCAAGGACTTTGGTTGCTTCATTAGACCCATTTGCCGCTGCCGACGCCGTTTCCTTCACATATTGCTTCCCAATAATGCTCGAAACGCTACCAACCGAAACCGGCCGATATTTCAGCTTTGAAGCTCTGGGATTCCCATTTTCTTGATAAGGCGACTTCTTATAGATACTATTGATAGGTAATCTAAAAGTTTCTCTGCCATTGGGTGCAAAGGTAGCCAGAGCTTCGGCGGCGTCGTCAGCATTCTTCCCTGCCTTGTAATACGCAGAAGTGATTTGATCAAGAGAAAATGCAGCCCCAAACAGCTCCAGCAAACCCCTCAGCACCATATCGTTTGTGAGACTCGACACGCCGTTCGAACCAGAAGCCTCCATTTTCCCAGAAACTCGACGTAACAGAAAAATGGATTTCGCTTTCTCCCTTCCAAAGCACGTTCATTCGGATGGAAGTTATTGCATAACTCCCAAAGACATTGAATTTTTTGACCCACTGAGTGATTTGAGATTGAGTGGTCAAGTCTCAGAGTTTAAGTACTGATTGGTGATTGCCTACCTGGTTAAATACCAACAAAAAATACATGGCTTTCGAGGCGGGTCAGAAGGCTGTTGTACATGGTGCTGTCTTCAAACCTCTTCGAAGCTCATTCCTTCCGTCAAATCACCCACAGGCCACAAAAGAAAACCCCAACAATGGCGAAGCAGACGAAGTCGTACCAGTAAATTTGCAGCGCCATTGTCTGAGATGAAGATTTTCAGTGAGAACCCAGAATCAGTTGTTCCGAATTGGGAAGTGAAATCGTGATAAGATGGACAACATTTGTGGTGGTTCTGGAAGGTGTTTATTTGTGTTGGGTTTTTCCAGATTTTGCAGATTTTGCAGATTCACGACGGAGGTGAAAAATTAAGAGAGAACCGACATAACTTTTCGTGTCGATTCCCACAGACGGCGCCAAATGTTGATGCACAAAACCAGAGGTCTTGGAACAACGTAAATCCGACCGTGAATCAGCATGAAAGTAAATAACACAAGATGTATCGTGGTTCACCCCAAGGTTTGGGCTACGTCCACACTGAGTATGTATTTATCTGAGGGGAGAAAGAGCTCTGAGAGTGAGAGCTTTGAGAGGGGTGAGAGGGTCTAGGACTTGGCTTCCCTTAATTGTGAGGGTGATGGGTCATTTTATAAAATAAGGACTCATCACTTATTAAATATTTGCCCCTTCCTTTATCACATAATTACATTTAAGTCTTCCGAGTATTTGTAAGAGATCTAAATACGGAGGCCCTAAATATGGTATAAATAGAACTCATCTTCATGCTACCAACCAGGTGATGAAATGTACAACTCGTACTCTAATATCATTTGGCAACTTGCCATTCATGCCACCAACTATGTGATGAAATGTACAACCCGTACTCTTCTTCATGCCACCAACCAGGTGATGAAATGTACAACCCGTACTCTAATATCATTTGGAAACTTGCCACTCATGCCACCAACCAGGTGAAGAAGGAACTCATCTTCATGCTATCAACCAGGTGATGAAATGTACAACCCGTACTCTCCTTCATGCCACCAACCAAGTGATGAAATGTACAACCCATAGTCTAATATCATTTAGTAACTTGCCATTCATGCCACCAACCATGTGAAGAAGGAACTCATCTTCGTGCCACCAACCAGGTGATGAAATGTGATGAAAGGTGATGAAGGAACTCACATTCGTACCACCAACAAAGTGATGAAAGCAACTCACCATTCATTCCACCTACCAGAAGACAAGTGGTACAACTTGTACATGTGAACTCCTAGCATTCACAAATAATCAAAAACCCTCAAGCTTGACAACTCAACTAGGGGAGCACTTATGCCCAACAAGAGTTATAGTCATCAACAAAGTCTTATTGCAAGCCAACAACAACTTCAGTGCATGGCATACGAAGATCAAGCTATTCAGTTCTCTTGCATTTGCTTCAGACATTTCCCCTCTGTAACAATGCAAACACTACAACTCGTAGAAAACTTCACACACTCTTGATCAAGACAGTGTGAAGCAAAACCAATTTATGGTGCCAACAAGAGCTTCATCAAAGGAGTTCAACCACAATTCTCAAAAGCTTCACACATTCTTGATCAAGACAATGTGAAGCAAAACCAATTTATGGTGCCAACAAGAGCTTTATCAATGAAGGGCAACCACAATTCTCAAAAGCTTCACACACTCTTGATCAAGACAGTGTGAAGCAAAACCAATTTATGGTGCCAACAAGAGCTTCATCAATGGAGGGGAACCACAATTCTCAAAAGCTTCACACACTCTTGATCAAGATAGTGTGAAGAAAATTCAATTCGTGGTACCCAACAAAGTTTCACCACAAAAGCTTCACCAACAAAAGCTTCATCAATGGAGGACAACTAAAAATTCTCAAAAGCTTCACAATATCTTGATCAAGATAGTGTGAAGCAAAATCAATTCATGGTACCCAACAAAAGCTTCAACTCCAAAGCTTCACCTACAAAGCTTCAACTCCAAAGCTTCACCTACAAAAGCTTCACCCACAATAGCTTCACCCACAATAACTTCACCCACAATAGCTTCACCACAAAATAGCTTACCCACCAACAAAAGCTTTCACCCATAAGCTTCACCCACAAAAGCTTCACCCACCACAAAAGCTTCACCTACAAAAGCTTTACCCATAAAAGCTTCACCAACAAAAGATTCACCCACAAAAGCTTCCCCCACCACAAAAGCTTCACCCACTACAAAAGCTTCACCCACAAGCTTCACCCACCACAAAAGCTTCACCTACAAAAGCTTCACCCATAATAGCTTCACCTACAAAAGCTTCACCCAAAAGCACCCAATAAAGCTTCACCAACAAAAGCTTCACCCACCACAAAAGCTTCACCCACCATAAAAGCTTCACCTATAAAAGCTTCACCCATAAAAGCTTCACCAACAAAAGCTTCACCCACCACAAAAGCTTCACCCACCATAAAAGCTTCACCTATAAAAGCTTCACCCATAAAAGCTTCACCACCACAAAATCTTCACCCACAAAAGCTTCACCTACAAAAGCTCCACCTACAAAAGCTTCACCTACAAAGCTTCAACACAAAAGCTTCACTTACAAAAGCTTCACACTATCTTGATCAAGATAGTGTGAAGCAAAATCAATTCATGGTACCCAACAAAACTTCAACCTCAAAGCTTTACCTACAAAGCTTCACCTATAAAGCTTAATATATATATATATATATATATATATATATATATTCGGAAATTCAAAAAGTCAAAAATTCGGAAATTCAAAAATTCAGAAATTCGAAAATTCAAAAAAAAAGAAAAAAAAATCGAAAATTCAAAAAAATAAAAAATAAAAAATTTGCCAAGGCCTCATCTTCTTTGGGCCTAACAACTTTCATAACAAATATATATGAAAGAGGAGTTTTGGGCTACCACTTAGAAAGGAAAATGGTTTTGTTACTTTGGAAACTTTGCTACTAGCAAAACACCTCATTCGTCGACTCCCTCGACCGAAGACTTAGGAGACTCCTACCATATGCTACTGGACCTTGATACTCGAAAGTCTCACGACCACTCAGTGACTTGGATTTTTTCAAGTCTCCAACCGAGAAGTTTTCCTCACTCGGGAAATTAAGGGAGCACAACCTCAACCTACATGTTTCACTCACAAATCTTCAACATACAAGCTTCAACAGAAGAAAAAATTCAAAGAATTTAGTGAAGAAGGCCTTGGTGTATTTAACACAATATGTTGAAATGAAGCAAAGCTTGTTTATTGATATCTCCGATAAGTTACAAATGTGTACATATACATGAATCAAAATAAACAAACAAGAGGGAGCCTTCATAAAGGTTGCTCAGGAGAAGTCTCAGCAGTTGGCAGAGCCCCAGAAAGAGGAGGCACCAGAGGGTGATTATTCGGAGCCTCAGTACTAGGTAGAACCCCAGAAGGAGGAGGCACCGAAGGTTGATCATTTGAAGCTTCATTACGTGGTACAGCCCTAGAAGACGAAGGTAATAAATGATTTTGGAACAAACACACAAACCTCTGATGATCAAGTAAAATATGACCATCAGATTCCTGGAGCTGGTCGAGCTTCCTCTTCATATTTGTAGCATAGTCATGTGCGAGCCTATGCAACTGTTTATTCTCATGCTTGAGCCCTTTGATCTCCTGTTTGAGACTTATCACTTCAGCCGCCAATGATTCAACTTGGTGGGTTCGAGCAAATAGGCGCTGGGCCATATTAGACACAGAACTTGCACACTGAACACTGAGAGCCATAGAATCCTTAACAGCCAACTCATCAGACCGTTTGGAAAGTAGTCTGTTATCTTTAGGAGTGAGAAGGTTCCTGGCCACCACCGCAGCGGTCATATCATTCTTTATCATATAGTCCCCAACGGTAAGAGGACTAGTAGGGTATAAGAAGGATGGGCGTCATATGTTGTCTTGAGAAGGCATGGCTGCCTTTACCAAAGTTCAAGTCAAAACGACGGTCGGATGGGCCAGACATTCTCAGAAATGATGAAGGAGAAATGAGATGCAATAAATCTCTGAAGTAAGGGAAAATTCCTACAAGCAATAACTCTTTGAATGTACTTCTTGCACACAATTGGTGCCCTTATAAAAGAAAGGGCAACAGGGTCGTTGGTTCAAAAATCGAAGAGGCACCACTCTCCTGATTCCGAAGAGGCAATACTTTCCACACTCAACATCAGCTCCTCGGGTACCACAGATAACTTTGCCAAAGGTCTCTGACAAAGTTTACACACATAAATTTTGAAGGTCCAGCTACCCTACTATTACCCACAATGGTAAGGGAACAACACCACTGCTTGATAACTAGAAAGTCCATATGTGTGTCAACCTCGGTGCTCCGTGGCAAAGCAAACTGGCAAAAATGTCCAACCTTTACTCACATTTGAGAAAACACTTCCAACAAGATTTCTTACTCAAAAATCGAAGATGCACTGCTTTCCGAATCTCGAGAGCCATACTCCCAACAGGATTACGTGTTCAAAAATCGAAGAGGCATCGCCCTCCGAATCTCGAGAGCCAGACTTCCTACAGGATTTCTTTCTCAAAAATCAAAGAAACACTGTTCTCCGAATCTCAATAGTCAAACTCCCAACAGGATTGCTTTCTCAAAAATCGAAGAGACACCGTTCTCTGAATCTCGAGAGCCAGATCCCCGACATGATTGCTTGTTCGAAAACCGAAGAGGCACCGCTCTCCGAACTTCGAGAGCCAGATTTTCTTGGATAAAGCTTGTCTGCAATCTTTACATGCAACATCAGCTTTCCAGATACCACATACCACTTTTTCAAAGTGCTCTGACA